AGACACCAATTTCCTTCATGGTAGCTGTGGTTCAAAGTCTGAGACACCAATTTCCTTCATGGTAGCTGTGGTTCAAAGTCTTAAACACCAATTTCCTTCATGGTAGCTGTGGTTCAAAGTCTGAGACACTAATTTCCTTCATGGTAGCTGTGGGTCAAAGCCTGAGACACCAATTTCCTTCATGGTAGCGAACCAATCAGGGCAGCATACTTCTTGCACACGCAGCCGGCACCAATCTCGATTTTAAAGGACCAACTCACCCTAAATATCTTCCCCACGCTGCTGCTGAAGCCTGCTCGTAAACTTTTACACGAGCATCCCAGTAGTATTTACTAATATTAGCAATAATAGAGGAGTCAGCGTTGATTAGGCCAAATCTTGACTGTCGCCGATCCACGATGGGCTGATTTCGTCGCACAATTTATTCGATTTGTTGGGCCCTTAATTCCCTGTTCCAAACTTGCTGTTCATAACCTCACGACCAAACCGTCGACTTTGACATAAACAATATTGTTACAAGCTACTGGTTATTCTCGATGCACGAGCGTTCGTGAGTTTGCGATTACGTAACTAAAGTGCAAAGGAGGAATAGGGTTTTTACGCATACTTATTTTTTTAAAACCCTGGAAATTTACTGAAAGTCACCCAGTTCTTATCAGTTGAAGCAGTAAAGAGAGCTGCCATAACATGGTTCTGGTCGCATGCCGCTCATTTTTACACAGATGGACCAAGAACTATAAATAAGGCCTATACAGCCTATGGAAATGTATTGACCGAGATAGAGCATATGTTGATAAACAAACCTAATGCCTTTGAGCGTTTTTCAAACTGTTGTTTTTCCACACATTTTTTGTAGCCCCTTGTATATGTAAATAACTGTACTTCATTTCGGTTCATAATTGCATTGATTATTTAAGCTCAGCTTATAGATTCCAGAAGCGGCGATGAGAGACGTGCTAAGATGTGTATGCGGGGTTTATAACTGCGATGTGTAGAATTATATAAAACAATTCAGAACCAATATGCTGTACAGTGACTCTCTTCTTTTTTAAGAGAACCTTCTTAGACCTTCTCTTTTAAGAGAAGGTCTAATTCACGAACCTCAAAGGTTATTGAATGCGTCAGAGGTTTTATTTTGGATAAAATCATGTGGATTGCGACCAAGGCCATGCATGCTTTATGGGGGTCATGCAAAGGTTCCACAGTTCGCAGGTTGTGGTCTGTGGCAGTGTATATTAATAGTTATGCTTGGCATCATGGATTAATTAAATTCAGCGCCGAGGTTATATATAGCCATTACATGTAGAGGGGCAGACATTCACTATGTTAATAGTTACATTTATAACCCTCGTTTGTGCATCTCGTACAGGCAGGAGAGGTGCATAGCCGTGACAGTATCTTTTGCACAACCGGCAACAGAAAAACACTGTTAAGATGCCACCTGTAAACAACCTAGCAACTAATTATACAGTATGACAGTTGCAAAATTCTTTGTAGATAGAAACGACATACAATATTGAAGGCATGGTCACACACTAGTGGCATCTATAAACACAGAACTGGCAATAGCAATCAACAGCAGTCAGCTGCAGAGTACATTGCAGATAACGGCAGACCAAAGAACTGACAGAACGGCTTTATTGAACCGACGGCACAGTGATGAGCAGAGACTCCAGTTGTGCCAATACAGGTGAACGCGGTGTACAGGACTGCCAGCTGCCGAGAAATTTCTTAAACGGCTTCATTGTGTTCATTCCAGAACGTAGAACTTTACTGCTGCACGAATTTACTTCTATCATTGTTGCTAGGATGCCCGTATTATTAATTATGAGCGTATTATGTGCGTTTAAACACAGGCAACGGCCAATCATAGTATGCAAACTGTGTGAAGTGAATAATTATTGAGTATTAAGTGAGTTTTGAGTGTATAAAATCATGTATAAAAATATGAATGAAATTCACGACTCACGATCGGGAGGGTGGATAGTTCCTAATCGCCTATGAAACTCTTCTACGCTCAATAAACGTTCGGCGAACATACCTAGATCCTCATTTAATTTGTTCTTTCTTTCCACGCTAATAAATCAATACATGAAACACTTTCTCCAACTCAAATGAAAAAATTGCATGAATAAATTATATTTTCTATCATCTTTGTTTTTTTGAGATGGTTTATTATTTATTTTAAAATAGTTTGCTTTGTTATGTATGCAACAGGGATGAAACAGGTACGTTTCTTCAGAAAAGTTCAACTTCATCTAGTGCATTTTGCGACGACAAATTCATTTTCGTTCCAAAACAGGGATTTATAAGTGAAACGCTCTTGTATGTTGAATTGAGGCCTTGCCAAATTCCGAATTATTTTGAGATGTTTACATTTATTTACGCATTGCATTAGTATTTTCCATTAATTAGAGACTGAATTGCAATCAAATTTCCGCCATGCAAAAAGACTTAGGGACAGGATGCTCAGTCGGTACAGAAATTTTCCCCTCAAACAAATAACATTTTCATGCGGGGCTAATTTTCTAGTTGAAGTAAATCATTTCTTTTAATACTTTCCCTCATTCTAGTTTATTAGAGTAAATACAATGATATCAGACACAAAGGTCAAGATTTTGTTGAATTGTAGTCTTGTTTTTTTATCGCTACTGTTACCTCTTGTTATATTTTGTAATAATCACATTAACAAAAGATTATAAAGACTGTACCATTGGGGCGGGCATGGGGGCAGCTAGAGCATAGCAGGCACACAGAGCCAGAAGCAGCGAACGTGGTTTCCATTCGGCCATTTTTGAGGTTCTCCAGGGTAACTGCTGAACAAAGGAACACATTGACTAAATTAATCATAACATTGACTAAATTTTAAGAAACTAATACTGACATCGAGAAAAATTTTATGAAGGAGAAGATAAATACTTACAAATTTTTGGAACCAACTAGCTGAAAACGAAAAATTTCATATCTCCAACTTATTATTTTTTTTATATTCACAAATTGAATCAAAACAGTTCGAATAAACGTAAAAATGGTCTCCTTGGCGTTCTAGTGGCCGGATACCGCGTAAAAATAAACCGTTTCCCGGTTTTTCAAATGTGTAAGGGGTTTTTAGTGTTAAATTTAAATAAAAACTGCCACACGGCGTTTCTTTCACGTGCCGACCGGTCACTGAAACGCAGGTAATGCAGTTTAATGGTGATTTTTAGAACAATGAAGTAGGGTGAAATCGTAAAAAAATAGTTCGAAATTAATATTCATTTTAAAAAATTGAAAATTTTAATAAATTTATTGAATTTTTAAAAGTCAACTTCAGATTCTATCCACAAATAAAAAAGACCTTCAATGTTTACCTGATGCAAGTTTTGAACCCTGAGCGTTGTGGAGGTCTTGAATTAAAAGTTATTATAGTGATAAAATATTAGAATCATAACATGTATAAATGTATCGCCAATTGGTTTTTAAAAATGAAAACTATTTGCATGGTTTAAAGAGCATGGAGATAGATATCAGGAAGAGCGACATGAGCGACATATATTTTTCAGCGACATGAGTCAGCGACATTTTTCTTCATATGTTTTAAAAATGAATTATATTACAGAAACGTACATAGTAGAGTGGTATTTGAAGAGAAAATAACTTTTAAAACATTAAAAAATTTAAATAAAAAAATGATTTATTGGGAAAGTGAAAAAGGTAAATCAAAAATGTAATTAATATACACACACATGCCCGCATATGTTCCATGTAACCCGTGAATTTCATGCGATGGCTCGTGCTTGATCTTCGACATTACTCCTGCATTGCCGGGTGGTAATTCGTGCTAAATTGAAATTGATTTTAAATAACGCTGTGTTGAATAATTACCGTGAATAACACTATGTTGATTAATCACCGTCAATAGTTATGAGTAGTGAGGACATTCACTGAGGATAATAATTCAGTTAACAAAATGCTTTAAACCCTACTAATTGTTGAGCCAAATGATCGAACGTTATCTTCTATCCGGGCTAAATTCTGCCATCATTTTGTCTCACCCATTCAGTTATTATCAAACTAAAATCGTATAAAATCTTTGTGATAGTAAAAATATTACAAACCACATACCCAGTGGGCTTACATACTCAGTGGGCTAACATACACAGTGGTCTAACATACTCAGTGGGCTAACATACCCAGTGGGCTAACATACTCAGTGGTCTAACATACTCAGTGGGCTAACATACTCAGTGGGCTAACATACACAGTGGTCTAACATACTCAGTGGGCTAACATACTCAGTGGGCTAACATACTCAGTGGTCCAACATACTCAGTGGGCTAACATACTCAGTGGGCTAACATACTCAGTGGGC